TGAAGATCGGCTGCAAATGGTTTGAAACCTGGCTTTTAAGCTCAATTTGCCGAGTTGGTTCAAAGCCTGGCTGCCAAATTGGTTTGAAACCTGGCTTACATTTATTTTTAGTTTTTCACAAATCATCTTGCTGCTGTTTTATGTTCGCCTAGTACTTCAGATTTTGGATTTAAGCATTTGCAGGCGATTTACAAATTTTACGAAAGCCGCAGCCGCTCAGAACTTAGTTTGCAAACTGGCATCTTTGCTACGTACTAGGCGAACATAATGCAGCAGCAAGATGATTTGTAAAAAATTAAAAACAAATGTAAGCCAGGTTTCAAACCATTTAGCAGCTGGGGCTCAAACCAGTTGCCGAATTGGTTTGAGCTCCAGCTACTAAAAGGTATGAAGATCGGCTAACACTAGGAATAGTGTTGCATCTTTTAGGCGGACGAATTTAATTTTAAATTTAAAAAAAAATTCATTTTGCTGCTGCCTTCTGTTCGCCTGGTACTTCAGATTTTGGCTTTTAGCAAACGCAGGCGATTTACAAATTTTACGAAATCCGCAGCCGCTCAGAACTTAGTTTGCAAACTGGCATCTTTGCTACGTACTAGGCGAACATAATGCAGCAGCAAGATGATTTGTAAAAAATTAAAAACAAATGTAAGCCAGGTTTCAAACCATTTAGCAGCTGGGGCTCAAACCAATTCGGCAACTGGTTTGAGCCCCAGCTACTAAAAGGTATGAAGATCGGCTAACACTAAGAATAGTGTTGCATCTTTTAGGCGAACGAATTTAATTTTAAATTTAAAAAAAAAATTCATCTTGCTGCTGCCTTCTGTTCGCCTGGTACTTCAGATTTTGGCTTTTAGCAAACGCAGGCCATCGGTCAAACTGATTTTTGTTTATATATGAGTCCGCTATATGAGTACGTCATATAACCACCCTCTTCACCCCTCTCACCAACCATACTAATAAATCCATTTAAAATTTATTTGAAGTCATTTTTATTTTCTTTTATTTACAAATTTAATGAATTAATAATTATTGTTCTTATTAATGTAAATTAGATATAACAAATTAAATATAGGAAATAAAATATGCACGAAAAAGGACATCCATCAGTATTATTAATATAAATTGTGTTATTATTATAATAATTATAATCAATTTCTTCGTTTTGCTCCTCGGGGCTTAAACATTCGTTTGCCATTCTGACTTTGCTCATTTGGCGAGCTGTGGGAAGTTCGAAAAGGACATCCAATTTCATGAATACATATACATATAAATAAATACATATAAATTTTATTATTATTATTATAATTAATTTTTCTGTTATTATAATATAAGCAATTCCTTCGTTTTGCTCCTCGTGGCTTGAACTTTCGGTTGCCAATCTAATCAAGCTGACTTCTGATCAGAAGATTGCTTCTGCCGTTGGCTAATCGCAGGATCGTCCTTGGTGTTTTTCCAAGAAAAATGATTGTGGGGGGACGGAATTTCGTCAGCCCCATTGTATACTCTCTTCGGAACATCTGACCACACACGGTTGTGAATTGGGGCATGGCTTGGATGGACAAATCCAATAAGCTGTTGATATCCTCGGCCGCATTGACGGCCGGCGCATTACTTTCGCTCTCAAAGGACTTGTTGATTGCCTCATTCAGGTTGGCCAGCAGTTGGCGACGACGCACATAATTCGGATTGCGACGCACCAGAAAGTGGCAGGACTCGCCGCGCTTCATGCGTGTCGTCGTCCAGCACCAGAATGGTCTTGACTCCGGCGCGACGCACGGCCACCTCCATGGACAGATAAAACAGACGTGGATCGCGATGACGCATTTTGAGGCTGTAGAGAAAAAGAAAAGACAAACGAGACAATTTAGTTAAGCGTCGAAATTAAAACAACTTATTAACGGTAATTAAATAGACAAATCAATGTGACGTAGCTTAAACAATTGAATAGTTAATTAAACATATAATGGGAATCATATTTTATTCCTACTCTACTTTTTGTGTTGCAGCGTACTTGGTAAACGAAATCTGTCCAATATCTAAATTTAAGTTATTATAATCTTTTGTTTTCAATTAAATTCAATTATACCCTGTACCCGTAGGGTAAAAAGAGTATATTAGGTTTGTGCAAAGTATGTAACATGCAGAGGGAAGCATCTCCGACCCCATATATTCTGAATCAGCATGACGAGAGAAATCGATCTAGACATGTCCGTCCGTCCGTCCGTCTGGATGAACGCGAGGATCTCAGAAACTATAAAAGCTAGAATAACCAAAGTTGGCATCCAGATTCTCCTAGGTCCGAGTTAGGACGAGTTTATTTAATTTTTTTAATTTTTTTATCTCCACACTTCTCTTGTAAACTCAACTAAAGCTACGACTAGACATGCAAAAATTTGAGCATATTTCTGTTTAATTTTAGAAATTGGCTCGGAAAACTGATTCCCAAATAAGTTTGTAACATCAGAACATTATTAAATTATTTTATATGACATATGTACTTCGGAAATTTGACAAGTTTGCGAGTACAACCATTTAACTTGTACAGAAAATAGCGGGATTGGTTATAGAATATATATTGTTGATTTCAGTTTGGCATCTACGAATCGCCAAAACTTGTTGCATATACACACATACATATATGTAAGATATATATTTGAATAAAATGCTGCCCGACTTGCATATGTGAGTATGTAGTCGGCACTCAAACAACCTGATGTTACATCATAAATTTTGTATGCTCCCAATGCAAAACATTTGTATAGGAATCAAACTAAATTAAAAAAACAAAAGGCAAACAAGAAAAAACTCAACACCCTGGTTCGGGGGGTCGAACTGGTCGAAATTTGTGCTGCCTCAGCAGCATGCACCTGTGCAGCCAAAATCCTTTACACAAACCAAACCAAACACACACACACACACACATGTACGATGAAGCGCCCAGTTATATGGCCAACCAGTCTTATATATATGAGCAAAACAAATCGAGCAGCTTATCAGCGCTAAAATATCTTTCATTGACTTATGCGCTGGAAAATGGAACAATGGATGCTCTGAGCGTCCCAAGTAAATGCCCCACAGGATGAATTGGATGCTGGGGCGCCATTTCCAATGCCAGCAGCAGCGAGTGCGCCAACCATGGTTGGATGGCCAACAACTGGAAATGGGTCCCCCAGCTGGCTATGTAGAAATATTCTGTGGTAGTTGCTCATAAATATGCGCACACACACACACATAGGCACACTCTCCCACACACATACATATATGGATAGAAGAACACACCGACGACAGCGAATGGGCGGAGCCGCAGCATAAGGTGCGCTTAACTGCGTATGTGTGTGAGTAAATGGGTATATATGTACGTCTGTGTGTGCATGTATGTTTGCCATTTTTTATGCGCTCTATGGCAATTCAAAAACGCCTACTTCAACATCAGCAACAACAACAACCACCAAGCAGAGCAACAACAACACCAACAACAATAGCGACAACAGCATAGCTAGCGAGCCAGACAGTCAAGCATTGGCTACGCTTGTGGCTGAACACGGAGAGCAAAGCTTTCTATGCTCCTGTCTAATGCGCACAGTGGAATAAAGGCATATACATTATTTAATACCTATGAAGATTGTGTTTGAGTTTACTGTTATTCAACAGTAAAGGCAAGTGTTTAGTGACACTTATTAATGGAAATTCTACAAAATCGTAGATGGTATCATTCCCTATACACGATTATATTAAAAAGAAAAAATTAACCTATTTACTAAAAGAATAGAATGTATATTCAATATTTTACTATAATAATAAAAACATATTTTTTTGTAAAGCTTAGAATTTCTATAGATATTTTTTTAATATTAGTCATTTTATAAATATGTTCAATAAATATATTAGTATTTGATTAATGGAGATTAACTTCAAATAAATATTAAAAGCTAATCAAATTATATAAAGAATTCAATTAAATTAATATTTCAATTGCCTTAAAATACGCCAATGCCCGCTACCTCTAAATATTATTTGCTGATTTATTATTTCTATATGTTTATTTAAAGCTAAACCTTATATCTACTAAAATTACTATATTGAAACCTTGAGTAAGAAGATTTCTAAAAAAAATTAATCTGTAATATTGTTTAATTTTGGTAAATTATTATTATTTATAGTTTGTGTAGCATATTTTAAATGAACTTGGAATGCAACTTTTGCGGCTGATATTGGTACATTATTTTTATATAATATTTTCTTAAATTTTGACAATTCCAGCCTCGACATCTAATTTAGTTTTTGTTGCAAATAATTATTGATAATATTTTCTACAATTGTAGTTCGCCATATGTTGGTACATTATTTGTATTAAATATTTTCTTAATTTTTTCAAAATTTAAGTTATGTTAAACAAGTAGTGTTCAAGTTTGTTCTTAAAAATTCAAAACATACATATTAAAATCAAATTTCAATATGATACTGTGTATTCGTTAATATTAACCATTTAATGTATTATTTCATTCCTTTGGTGCTTTTCTATTTTAGTTGATATGTGAAAAGGTATGGAAATGTTTCTCATTGCCATATTCAAACCAATTCTAATTTTCAATTTGGCGAGAATTTTATTCTCATGCAGAAGCCCACTGTGCCCGACTTGAGAAGCTTTCTCTGAGAGCAACGGTAAAGGGTGTCATGCGCTGTTGTTGTTTCTATGCTGCTGTTGCTGTTGTCGTCGCTGCTGGCAAGTGTACGAGCCAAGCTTTCCAATGTAGCACACACACATACCCACACACATCGTGGTCGTCTACAGGAGCAGCACGAAGACAGCGCGACCAGCGAATGGCGTTCGAGCTGCCGACGTGGAGCTGCCGGCTGTGTTTGTTACATACACATGCATACATATAATTACATGTATATATTGTGGGAAAGCGCGTCGACGCGGCCATTCTCTGGCCACGGCCACCCTTCAGTTAGCCAGCCAGTCAGTCAGTCGTTACCGTTAACTCTTTGAAACTGGACGCACACGCAACGCGAAGCTGCACGCGGGCGCGCCAAACGCAGCGACACATTTTGAGAAAATCGAATAAAATAAAAATTTAAATTAAACAAAAAAATTCTATAGAAAACCAAAAGCCCAAAAAACAAAAGCGCTTCGAAAGCAGAGAAAAGTGAGAAATTTGCAATAAAGCTAAAGAGAGTGAAAAGTGGTAAATAAGAAGAAGAATTGCTGCATCTTTGAAATCATTGTCTAGTGCTAGTGAGTGAGATTTTTCCAAATCTGAAAACCCCCACACGGAAAAAAAACAAAAGTTGTTTACCCGCATTGGATGTGAAAAAATTGCACGCTTCTCAAATGAAAATGGAAGATCCTAATCTGGCCGACACGTATGTGCAGGAATTTGTACTTGAACATTTAGAAGATGGGGTAACCCCAGCGGGCACTATCGGTGTTAAACGCGAGGATCACAGTCCGCCACAGCCGGCTAGTACGTCCGGCAAATGGACAACAGTCCACGGCGAACCAGCCGGTACTGGTGATGACGGCGATGGCGAAACCATGCCCTTGCCATTGCCACTGCCACTGCCGGATGTGGGCGCCGATGCCTCGCCTCTGATCAAAATGCGCGCGTTTTCCGGTCAGTGGCACATCGATGATCGACGACTGCAACCGTTGTCGCCTCCACCAGAGCTGTATACGAATGGACCCATGGCCGGACAGGCCATATTGGTCAACACATCGGCGGCTGCAGCCGCCGCCGCTGCTGCCGCCATGCCGGGCGGTGTGCCTTCCACCCCGCCGGAGACGCCACCTGTAGTGGGCTCACCCACGGGCAGCAGCAGCTGTCCAGCGCAGACATATGCCCATCACTATCATGCACGTGCGCCGACATCCTCAACGGTGGTGGCGTCCGCCAGCCAAGGACTGGCGCAGGAGATGTGTTGGCTGCCAAACTCTATGCGAGAGCCACAGCCATTGGACTTGCGTCCGCTGGCCTGTCCCGGTTCGCAGGAGGAGGCGGACGAATGGGAACGTCAGCGCGAATATGCCATGCATCCATCGGCAGCAGCAGCCGCCGCCGCAGCTGCACACCACCATCATCATGGCCATGCGCTGATCCAACACCAACACCACCATCATCATGCTGCACAATTCCAGATGGCGCAGGCACAGCATCATCATCACTTCCATACGCTGGAGCACGCGCTGACGCCACTAAACATGCACACGGCCCACTATATCAATGGCCCGGCCACGCCCACACCCACACAGCTGGGGGCCGGGGGTAACAGCGGCAGTGCCGGCAGCAACAGCAGCGCGGCCTCCAACAGCTTGGCCAATGCCGCCTCCACAGCCGACGGCAATGTGCCGCCCATGTCCTGCCGACCCATGTCCGTTTGCTCCACACGCTCCTCCACCAACTCGCCACGCACCTGTTCCGGCGCCTACAGCACCGCCACACTGGAGGACTGTATCAACGATGACATGCTGACCTCCTTGACGGTCCGCGAGCTGAACAAACGCCTCCATGGCTGTCCCAGGGACGAGGTAGTGCGACTGAAGCAAAAGCGGCGCACGCTCAAGAATCGCGGCTATGCGCAAAATTGTCGTTCCAAGCGTCTGCATCAGCGCCACGAACTGGAGAAGGCAAATCGCCAGCTCAACCAGGACTTGCATCGCCTCAAGCTCGAGTACTCGCGGGTGTGCCAGGAGCGGGATGCGCTCGTTCAACGACTACGTGGCGGTGCAGGCGCCACTGCCGACAGCCAAAGCTCTCCGGAATTCTACCTCTGACGCCAACTGGCGGCAGCTTCACGTGAGAGCGGTCCAGCTGGCCACCAGCAACAGCAACAACCGCAACATCAGCAGCAGCCACAATCGCAGTCGCATCTGCAGCATCAACATCGTTCCTCGCATCAGCAATGGCCGCCAGCCCGCTATCCGCATCTGCAACAGCAGCATTCGCATCAACCTCAGCAGACGCAGCAGCAGACCCAACAAGTGGCCAATTGAGCTGAAACCACAATTCGTCTAATGTCTATTGTAAACTAAGCTAAAGCGAGCTAAGCCCATTCTTCTACAAGTACTTCTTCTTCTTCTTCAAGGTATTTCTCGATTTATCGTTTAACATTATTTTTCACTTTGAGCGACGTTTATGCGAAGGTCTTAAAGCTTTTCTTAGTGCTCAGAACTTTATATTGATGTGGGGTGAGGTATAGAGCAACGATTTTTAAAGAGAGCTAAAATTAACAATATTTGGTCCAAGCGCTGTACCGACACCGACAAATCTTAATCCACGGTACACAGGCAAATAATTTGCACACGCTTTCCACCAATTTTACGAGAAATATTATAAATGAATTTTGAATAGGTCTTCTAAGTAGAACAATATAACATTAACACTTTGGCATAATTATACAATTCAACTAATTTGTGTGCAAAAGATTTGCCTCTCTGACCACAGATTTAAAAATTTATTTGCAGTTATGTTGATAATAAAATATGTACAGCGCGATAAACAAAAGACGAAAATAGTGCTTCTTTATAACTGTAGAAAGAGTCCATCTTCAACTGGACTAGCTATTAATTTCTTTCTGAAAGCGATAAAAAATATTTTTTCTTGCCTTTACGTTGAGTGACGTTTCTCGGCAATACCTTCTAAAAGCAGAAGAATTTTTGTATACCTTGTAAAAGCGACAGAACCGTAATCAGCAAGTATAACACTAAAAGCACTTAGGAATGAACCCTTTCCATTGAAAACTTTGTGGAAGCAACTGTTCCACAAATATGTATTTCTTAAAACCTCTGGTTCATATAAGTAATTCTGCAATATTTTCAAAATCGGAAATCGGTCACTTATAATGTTATCTATTTAAATGATGTAGTTGAAAACTTTTTAATTTTTATATTTTTGGAACCTCTCGTCGCATAAACGTTGCATTTCATTAATTTACTTTTCGCTTCAATTGTGACAATAAATTTTAAACTAACTTTAAGTTTTTGTTAAGTGCATAAACAAATACACACACACATACATACATTTGCTAACAGGAGTTGTGTGAGTTCGTTTGCAAACAATTTAAAGATACTACAAACAGTTCTTCCAGCGATGTTTTGGACTCAAATTTTGGGAATATAATGTAAAGAAAACAATTAAATCGAATGGCACACAACTCTAAGGCATACATTAAACAAATATCAGCGTTAAGAAACGATCCCCGATCTGTATTATAAAACACAGCAGCTGCAGTGAAACTGATAGAAAAGGAGCGAGAGAGAGAATGTGTGTGTAAGGGAGAGAGAGAGGTGGCAGCTGACGTATCTACGTTTAGAAACATTTGAACCGCCGCTGATAATCAAAATTTGAAAATCATTCGCACACCTAACGAGACGCCAAATTGATTTTGAAAAAACTGCAATTTCCATACAGAAGATTTCAAATACACACACACATATATAGTAAATATATATATAAAATAAAATATGAAATACTTGCAGCTTCTGATTAATAATGCTGCTCGTTTGAGTACATTGTGTTACAAATTACAAGTTAGAAACACACGCTTATTTGTTGATTAGTTCTAGCCTTAGTTTTCTAGTATTAAGCAAAGCAAAATATCGTAGTTGCGTATGCATATAGTTCGTATATATAGGAATATATATAACAATACAAGTAGTGGCAAACGTTTTCAATTCAACCCCGATTGCTTTTCTTATCATTTCACAACAACTACCTAGCCCGGGCAATAAACACAAATTAAAAGGTTGTATTATGTTTAAAATGAAAGGCACTTTAACAGATTGTATAAAAATAAAAACTCAACTCTCCTACTACATGTGTACGTTAAACAAACTCAATAAGCAAATGCCTAACAGTAAATGTGTAAATATACTGCAAATTGTTAATATTTAAGCAAAATGGAAAACAAACATAATGCAACAATGTCTTTCTCAATGAACAAAACATTATGAAACTGAACAAGAATTGTGAGTAGACTTTAAGTGTGCATAAAATGAGCTATAATTAAAGAAAATCAAAAAACACACAAAAATCTACAATTAATAAAAAATATTATAAAAATACATTATTTGGAATGTTTTTCTTTGTTACTTGCTAACAATTTTACAGCTTTGGGGGAGTGGAGATTAAATGTTCGGATACATAAGTCTATGATTCCATAGCTCTGCTGATAACATCCTAAAGGCGAAAGAAATTGTGTTCGAAATCGTCGCTTTAGACAAATATCAGAGGCTTTTAATGTCTCTTGGATCGACTCAACACATTTTGGTTGTTTTTAACAAGACACCTGAATCGCAAATAAGATGCTTTCATCTAACGCCACATTTGACTCCTTGTTTCGAAACATTTACCGACATTTTGAAATTAAAATATCCGGAATGTGTCATGAGTCGAATGAGGCCATAAAAGTCATTCGCTAAATGACCTAAGGAACAATTAAAGCTTGCATTAGTTCAAAAGGGGCCTATTTGGAAGGCGATCATATAGATTTCTATTGAAATACATAAATAAGTACGTTTTTTCTTATCCAGTTCGGGTGTAATTTGTTCAGATGGTACAACTTTGTCTCTTATTGGATATATTTATTATTGGGTATAAAAGCATTAATTTCTCTTGAAGGCGAGCCATTCATGGCGCGTAAAATGGTTTGTAACAAACTTTTATTATTACCCAAAATATAATTTTGTTTTAAATATTTACCGACACTTTCCGTTTTGGTTTAAAACGATGACGACTAGCATGGATTTCCATTTGATTAATAGTTTAATTATACTTACCTTTCATAGAAAGTGTAAGTAGTTGTTTATTTGACAAATTATTCCTTTTCGATTATAAAAAGAGTTTATGAGTGGATAGAACAATTACTTAAAATTACGGGTATTAAACATTTTTGCCAAGTCTATTTAATTTAATGCTTATCGCACCGAATGTTTTCATGGCTGTGTGAACACATCATAATCCACATCCTTATCTAAAAATAGGTTGCAGATGCTGTTAATACTATTATTATAATGAAACTATATAGTCACTGGTTGGTAATATAATTATTTTCATTTTGTACATTTTTGTTTTATTACAGGTTATAGAAATTAATGTACTAATTTGCAGCAAAACACTATTCATTCGCATTAAATTTTGGCAACTATTCCAAATCAAGCTAACAGACATTTTTCCTATTACCAAATTCGATCAAATTATTCCCAATTCTGCAAACTGAAATTAGCTATTGGAAATAGCCCCGCAAGACCAGAAGGATATGGCTGTATCGACTCATGTTGTTGTACTGATATATAATTTGTCTTGGTTGCTAGAAGGTGGCATCTTGTATACCTTTTACCATTTGGGTACAGGTAGAAAAATTAAAAAAGAAAAATAACTACATACATATACATAAAATTGTGAGAGTATAATTAAAGACAGTCATAACTAACTCATAAATGATGTTATCAAACAATGTACTCCATCTAAAGGAAAATCCGGACAGCCGGCTGTCTAAACGTCATAGTAGAATATAAAAGTAGAGCGATTATGGTAATTTAAACGCTTCTCCTCCTTGCTAAGAAATGTTGAGTCTGGCACTTACACTTCTCCTTCCGAAATAATCAGATATTGTCAAACGTATATTTTTTGAACACTTTTCCACGAATCTTAAGTTGTCTTCGTGAGGTTAAAAGCAATAAAATGATTTCTTTATAATTAAAGCATTGCCTGCTGTGAAATTTTGTTTAATTAGTTATATTTCTTCTTTTGTATCTATAATCATAAAAACTACTTAGTTTTATAGGTAATAGATGGCTGCAAAGTAAATTAAAGGATTTATCAATTAAAACACGGGCTATGTGTCAGCTTAATAATTTAGTTAGCTGTGCCCAAAATATAATTGTTTAGCACACACAGGGAGATATATTCCCTAAACATAGTATTGTTTTGAGCACAGAACAAAAAGTTGGCATCAACTGATGATACCAACAATAGGCGGTTTTCCCAAGCGGTCCCCAAACTAAGTACTAATATTAACAGTAATTTTTTTTATAAAATCATTTTTTTCAAATGGATTCCATTTCTTCTCTTGTATTAAATCTTGAATAAAATTGCTTATATTAATGTAATGTTTTCAAAAATAGATATGATGCTTGATACCAAATAAGTTTGGGAGATCAGAGTCATAATATTCCACAAAATGTCAGAGTATGTTAGAGTATGGCAGAAGTTTAGAAGAGTTTAATGCCAATGGCGAAGAAGTCTATGGAAAACTATGGGAAAGTTTTTAATTTTCACTTACAGATATTATTATGTATACACGTAGATATATGGAGAGACAAACATTAGCCGACTGCTTAGTGGATGGCAAAATTTTGGTGTTGCCTTTTGCATCAGGAAGCTGGAAGGTTGTTATTTTATGATTTCGCGGTACCGATTGTGTGGTCTAAAGACGGCGGCTCTGATAAAAACAACGACCACCAGCAGCATCAGCACCACCAGCAGAGGCAGCCGCATCAAAAGGAGAAGCATTCAAAAGGCGATCTGCCAATGTAAACATTTGGAACAGCGTCCAGAACTGTGTCAACAAACATTTGCCACTTGCGCGTAACTGCGCATGCAGCAAGCTGAGCACCAACTTCTTCCACCGCCTTCCCCTATACCCTACAAAACAGCAGCGCACCACTTTGGCATTAAATTACGCTTATCAACGAGGCACTGAGCAGGCGCAGCTAAGTTTTTTTTTGTTTATAACTGTACAGTCGGTTTCAAGGCGCAGGCGCAGGCGTAATTCGGTGCCACTTGAAAAAAGAAATCCTCAGAAGTGCCCCTCAAATGTATATTTCATTAATAAAAGCTTAGCGTTTTTAATATGTGCCGCCTTCGAGTTTTCAAGTTTGTTTGTTTTCCTTGGCCCCCTTTTATATTTTGGTGCTCGGTCGCTGGATTTCCTGCCTTCCACTGAACCCGATTCGCCGCCAGTGGCCCGACTTTATATAATGCAACAATAATGTCGCCGTCGCCGTCGCCACAGTTGCGCAAGAATTTTTGTCGAATTTGTTTTTCATATGCGGCGACTTCTTTTACGAGTTGCTGTTATTGTTGTTGTTGTTATTATTATTGCTGTTGACCATCAAGTGGCCATATCGTTTTGATTGCTTTTCATTTATTTGCGCGGTGACTTCTACTAAGCAGCCAGCAGGAAGTGTCGAATTTCGTTATGAAAACATTGCATGCAAGCGACTCAAGACCCCATCGATAAAAACCCACTCGACTAGACAGCAACCGCGGAATGTGAAAATGGAAATGGCCAACTGGAAAATTTAGAGCGATGTGTGAGGGACAACTAAATCTACATTTCGATATGCGAGTGTACAACATCTAACCTAGATCTAAAGTTAGTCAGACTTCGGCTTTTTCTGAAATCAACATCAGTATGCATGTACCTTGTTCAGTTTTTAATTTTAAAACGCATATATTCCTCTAATTGCCTTGTTGAAATGGGTTTTAGGAATGGGGCAAATAACACTTCAAACGCAAAGAACTAAGATCATTTTTTCGTATTACCAAAAAGTGCAACATTTTGTTAGAGACCTCCCTCAAGTACAATAATTTTTCAAAACATTTCATTATTAATACCTTACTCCCTAAGTATAAAACAGGAGAGAACGCTACAGTCGAGCGAGTCCGACTGTGTAATACCCTGTACCCAGACAAATTTCCCAGACGAAGAAGAGCGAACTTGGTGTTGTAGTACTGGAGTGAAATTGTTTCGCTAATAATTGTATATATAGAATTGTATATACTTGTAGATTATGTGTGCAAAGTTTGGCTAATGTAGCTTTTGAAATGTGGACAGTATTGACAAAGTTCTGGACGGACGGACATGTCTAGATCGATTCGTCTCGTCTCGCTGATTAAGAATAAATATACTTTATGGGGTCGGAGATGATTCCTTCTGCCTGTTACATACTTGTACAAGTAATTTGCACAAACCTAATATACTCTTTTTACCCTACGGGTACAGGGTATAACAATCTGATTTGTGCAATCTATACGCGCGCATCCGTCTGGTTAAACGCCTAGAAATCGGACAGGGCAAACATTAATCAAACTTGTTTTGTTGATTTTCCTACTCCCTAGGAGGCTTTATAGCGTCTTCTATCTGCTCTTAATTTTAAGTTTACAACAGAATCGCCTAAGACTGTGCTACAATATTTATTCTGCCACTTGTTTTTTCCAATGTACTGCCAACCATTACTGTCAGCTTATATGCATTCTATTTTGGTGATTTTTCACAAATGTAGACTACCTTGAAGATGTACCAAATATGTTAGCTAACGGGGCGGTGCTTGAGATTTGCGACATTTGACCAGTTTCGAGTGCAGATTAAACAATAATTATTGGCATTTAATGCAAATTGCTGGCGACTTGCAACTTCTTTTTAAGCCTGCGGCAACAATAAAATATGAAAAAAAAAAAACACCTAAGCACGCACACTCACAAGTGCAAGAAGCTGCAGGCAGTTACTGAAGGACTCAAATGTGGCGAAGTGCGTTGAGGGATCGACGGCTGATGTTCAGGGGCGGCTGCAGCTCGTCAAATAAAAGTTATAGACACACACACACACAAACGCAGATAGATATAGTACGCACACATGACTGAAAAAGTGACAATGACAATCGGTCGGCAGTGGCTTAAGGCATAAAACATTTGATGGGGCGAATGAGAATGGGGATGAGGCTGAGACTGAGACTGAGGTTGAAGATGGGAATGCGGATGGTGTTCATAGTCGCTGGCATAATCAGTGCCAATGGCCGTTGAGGGCGTTGAGTCGTCACCGTTATTATCTGCACACACAGACACACTCACACACATGCGCACACACTCACCGTTTGATTATCCTGCGTACTTTTTTATGCCTGCACTGCGACGTGTTGACGGAGACAGCGTTGATGAGCCTGGCCGGGCGCTTTTTATGCCTCAAGTGGACCAGCGATGAGCGACACGCTTAAGTGGCTCAGCCCCTACCCTCTG